GGGGGGGGGGGGGGGGGGCAACTGAGACTGAAAATTCATAAAGATGTCGATCCACATTTGAAAAGGATAAATAGTTTAAAAATATCAAAGGTTTACACCATTAGGTTGCAAAGATATAGAGATTAGAAAATTTGAATGAGTGGCAAAAACTCAGTTTTCTCCAAGTGAGAGAAAGACTGAAAAAAAAATGAACCACTTAATTGTATAAACCTGTAGAGACGTTAACCGAATACATATTCAGTATTCAACAGAATTTAAATATTTAAAATGTGATAAACTTAATGGAAGATTTAGTGGGGTGGCATGGGGAATAAAAATGACAATAAATGAGATAGTTTGTGTGTGTGTGGGGGGGGGGGGGCAAAAATCCACCAAATTACAATAAATGAAGTACACTAGCTACTGTATTTGGCAATTATCCTATATTTTATCGACCCATTAAAGATTAACGATGTCTTTAATAGAAAACATTTATGTCAACACTAACTATAGGTTTTGTTCAACTCTTTTATCATCTAGTTCATTCCTTCCCTTCCTTCTCTCTACCTTCTCCTTCCTTCATCAACATTCTCCTTCTCTTCCTTCTCTTCTTTCTCTTCCTTCATTAAGATTCTCCTTACCTTCTTTCTCTACCTTCTCCTTTCTTCATTAACGTTCTCCTTCTCTTCCTTTTCTAACCTGCTCCTTCCTTCAACAACATTCTCCTTCTCTTCCTACTCTATACCTTCTATTTCTCTTCCTTCTCTACAATTATCAATATTCTCCTTCTCTATGCCATCTCCTTCCTTCATCCATATTTTCCTTCTCTACCTTTTCTTGCTTTTACCAATATTCTCCTTCTCTTCCTTCTTTACCTTCTCCTTCCTTCATCAATATTCTACTTCTCTTCATTCTCTACCTTCTCCTTCCTTCATCAACATTGTACTTCTCTTTATTCTCTTCCTTCTCCTTCCTTCATCAATATTCTCCTTCTCTTCATTCTCTACCTTCTCCTTCCTTTATTAACATTATTCTTCTATTCCTTCTATATCTTATCTTTCCTTCATCAACATTCTCTTTCTCTTCCTTCTCTACCTTTTCCTTCCTTTATCAACAATCTCCTTCTCCTCCTTCTTTATACCTTCTCCTTCCTTTATTAAAATCCTCCTACTCTTCCTTCCAACAACTTCCTTCTCTTCCTTTTACCATCTTTCTACTCTACCTACCCCTTTCTTCTCTTTAACTTCTCCTTCCTTATACAACGTTCTCCTTCCCTTCCTTTCACCATCTTTCTTCTCTACATTCTCCTCTACCCTCTCTATACCTTTTCCTTCCTTCTCCTTAATTAAACCTTCCTTGTCCTTCTCATCCTTTCGTGATTTTCTCTTTTTTCCTTAATTCCCCAACTCCTACCATTAACCTTTCATTTTGACTTAATTAATTTAAATAATTCTTAAGCTTTATTTTTCTCATTCTAACATCACTTTCTACTCTTTCTCTCCTTTAAATTTCACTTTATATCCATTTTAATGACTTTATCTCCTATTTCTAATTTCTTCTCTTTCCTTGAAAAAACTAACATTGAAATAATTCCTACCGCATAATTTGCCCACTACCAAATAAGCTATTTATGCCTCTAGGATCACTATTGATTATTATGTTTAGACAAATTGGATTGTTCAAGTGGAAAATTTGGTAATTACCAATACTTGTACAGTATCGTATATTGTTTATTGTTTATATACTATTTATTATTAAATATCCCTAAATACTTGTTCAGTATCGTATATTGTTTATTGTTTATATACTATTTATTATTAAATATCCCTGAAGTATTTTCAAGGGAACTTGTAAACAACTTCGGGGGCAAAAAATTATAAAGGAATCGAAGCCTTGCCACAAACTCAGGTTTCTAGTCCATTATTATTATTATTGGAAACTTCTGGGGATATTCTGGTCCCCTAGAAAGTCACCCCCATCAGTACTTACCCTTCGATACGAGTACAACCACGCCTGGGGTCGTCTGTTTTAAAACAGCTTAGAGCATGTTCTATTATTGAACCCTGGATATAAGCGCACCGGGTGTTGGGATTTCGGGAACCTGAGTAAGCGGCAACTTCCCAAGTCTGTCCTAGCCACAGCGCTTAGCCCCTAGTCTGTTCTAGCCGGCGCGCTCGGCCCTATAGACCATCCTAGCCGCAGCGCTCGCCCCACCCCCCATTGCAGCCTGCGGCGCCTCAGATGGCCTAATCTAACCTTTGGGAAGTTACCGCTTGGGAAATTACACATTTGGGAAGTTGCCACTTGGGAAATCGCCCTTGGGAAAATGCCTTTGGGAAATATGTTATGATATGATGTTGCTACAAAATGTATGCTTTTAATTATTACAAAAGCTTTCAAAAATCTAAAAAGTGAAGTAATGAGAAAATGAGATGAAACATGTTTTACCTTTTCTTCTCTCCATCACCGGAAGTAGTTTTTTCTTTCCATCAGTTCCGGATTTCTCTTTATTCACTGCTATTTCTTTTTTATCAACAATTTGGGTCACTTTAGCTGCACTTTGCGTCACTGCGTCAACTGCAATCACTTTCTTTTTACCCTGCATCAATTTACAGACGTTTTGCGTCACTTTCTGTACATTTTGAGTCACTTTAGGACTTGGCGTCACTTTAGATACTTCTTGCGTTACTTTCTTAATATCTGGCGTTGCTTTGACCAATTGCGAGATTTTCTTTCGGTCGGCAGATATCGACTTCTTTCTCTCTTTTATACCATCCTTAACCACTGATTTCTTCCCGTCTTTGACCGCCGTTTTGTCCAGACTTCGGCGGTGAGAAGCCGATGTTTTGAGTTTTGCGTTTTCAATCAGTTTTCTTCTTATCTCTCCTTCACTTAATTCATCTTTAAAGCACATGGGTTTTTTTACATAAAAAAAATCAACTTATTATTTTTACTTGTATTTTATAAATCATTCCGAACTCAAAATTCATTTACTCTGAATAACAAGGTTTTAGAAGAGTTCTTTGGTTCCGTTGATTTGAAAAATATTGTTCAATAGAAAATTATAAATTAAACCTAACTGACAATTGTAAAATTTATGCCTATCAAAATAGAAATTAAATTTTAGAAATGTTCTCTCAAGAAGCACTTTTTACTTGAAATGAAATAAGCAGGGAAAACTTTATGGACCAAAATTAAGTTGTTAATGTTAACCCTGTAATCATATTTCTAGATTCACGGAACACCGCCTAATTATTCATTACTTATCTGATGCAGCACTTGGCTTAAGAAGATAATAAGATTGCCCTCTCTCCCTTTTCTATCCTTCAACACCCCCCCCCGCCCATCCTTAACCCCCTCCCCCTCTTCATAGGATTTCCAAGAGTAAAGCCAGTCAGAACATGTGTTGTTACTGCAAGCTCCTAGTCTTTACCCCCTACTAAGTAGATATTCCGGAAACTATTTTTCCTCCTCATTTTACCCCCCTCCCTCTTTCTCTGCCATCATTACCATCTTTTTTCCTCATCTTTACCACAATAGTCCCTCATCTTTACCACAATACTCCCTCATCTTTACCACAATACTCCCTCATCTTTACCACAATACTCCCTCATCTTTTCCACAATACTCCCTCATCTTTTCCACAATACTCCCTCATCTTTACCACAATACTCCCTCTTCTTTCACCCCTACCTCCTCATTTTTACTTTTGTTTTTACCCTCATCCTTCCTTCCTCATTTTTATACCCCTTTCCTTTCATTTTACTCTCCACTTCCTTCCTTATTTTCTTCTCATTTTTATCTCCCTCTTCCTTCATTATTTTTATTCTACTTCCTTCTCATTCTTATCTCCCTCATTCTTAAATATCCCTAAATACTTGTTC